AGGAGAAGGGGTGACCCCGACCTTCTCAGGACAGCGGGGCGTCGGGAGACCCTCTGCGGCCAGCTCGCCCAGATGGGCCTCCGGGGCCCCTGTCAAGGCTCTGATAGGCCAGGCCCTGCCCCAATGGCAGGGCCGCCGCTCCAGATGCGGGCTCCCTATTGGCCCTGGGAAGTGGGCGGAGCCACCCGCTCGCATTAGCTCCACCCCATCCCCTGCCAATGAAGCCCCAGCGCTCTCGCGCCCACGTGACTGGTCACGTGCCACGACGCGCTCCCCGCCCCCAATGACGTCACCCCACGCCCATTCTCACGAGAGTGGGCCCCGAGGCCGGTGAGAGGCGGGCCGGCCAGTCCAGGGGGCGGAGGGGGCAGGGCAGGGGGCTCCGGCCGGGGTCCCTCGTCCCCGAGGGCCGCCGGCCCCACGGAGGCAGGGGCCCCCAGGGGCCAGGGGGCGGGCCAGGGGCCCCGGCCGCGCTGCTCCCATTGGCTGGCCGCGCCGGCATGCAAATGAGGGCGGCGTCACTTCCGGAGGCCCACCGGGCGCCATCTTCTCTTTCTGGCCGCGCTGGGAGGAGGGCCGGGGTCGCGCGGCGGGCGCGCCGAGGGGGGGTCCCGCCGCGGGCGGAGGCGCGGGCGCGGCCGGCGAGAGGCGGCGGCGACGCGGCGGCGCCCCGGGCGCGCGCGGTAGGTACGTGCCGGCCGGCCCGGGCGCCGGCCCCCGGCGACCCCGGCCCGCGGCCCGGCCCCGCCCCCGCGCCGCGCCGCCCCGCCCCGCCCGCCCGCCCGCCCGCCGGGCGCCCGTCGTGCGGCCGCGTCACGTGGGCCGGGGTCGCGGGGCGGGGCGGGGCGGGGCGCGGCGGGGCGGGCCGGGCTCGGGGGCGCCTCGCGGGGCTCCGTCCGCGCCCTCGGGGCGGCTTCCCGCTCGGGCCGGGCCGCGCGGCGCCGGCGGCTGTGGCGGGAGCGCGGCGCGCGGGCCCCGCACCTCGACTCGCGCCCGCCCGGGGACGGCCTCGCGGACTGGCTCGCGGGGCGCGCGGGCCGAGGGCGGCCGGGCAAGGGCGGGGGCCCGAGGGCCGGGCGGGGGCTGACAGGGGCGCGCCCGGGGGGCGAGCGGGCTCTCTCCTGGCGGCTCGGCCGCGGGCGCCCCGGGTCCCCAGGGGGCGGCTCTGCGGGTGCGGGGCGACGGCATCGGCCTGGCTCTCGGTCGCCCCTGTTTAGCGTCCCTGAAGTGGCGCTAAAAGTGGGAAACCTTAGTGAAAGGGAGGTGGCTGCATGCTTGGTTGGGGGACCCACAGTAACAGTGAGGCGGGAACGGGGCGCTCATACTTCTCCGTAAAGTTCCTCCAAACTCGAGGGAAAAGACTGGCAGTTCCTTGGCCCCAGCCCCCAGCCCTGAACAAGTAGCTGCAGAGCCCGGGTGAAACCCGCCCAGTCCCGGAAGGCTGTTCCAGTGCCCACCTGAGAGTCGCGGGCAGCGCTGGCCCCGCAAAACCCGCCGGTCCCGGCAGCGTAGCTTCTTTAGAGCCTGTCTGGAGACAGCCTCCCGCACCCTGCCCGGCGGCCTGCGCCAGACGCTCTTCACAGGCCCCAAGTGGCACCCTTCCCCAAGGGTGGAAGGCTCTGCCTTGCTCCCGGGAGGGCACCCCAAGGGGCGGGGAGCGTGGGCTTGCAGAGCAGAGGCCCCTGTGCTCGCCCCAGGCCCGGACCCGGGCGATGCCGGTGCCCTAAGGGTGTGCCTTCACGACAGACCCGCTTGGCGCACTTTATTTGTAATAATTTTACTGTTTTTTTACTTCTGTTCCCTGTGAGTTCTCATGTGCTCCTGTTCTGCGGGCTGATGACTGGAGTCTCGCCTTCTCAGCCCAGGCAGACGTCTCGCACAGGCAGTGCATGAGCACTTACCTCGTCCCAGCCGGCCTTTCCCAGAGGCCTCAGTTTCCCTCACCGCTCTCTGCCCACCAGGTGCCCCTTGGCCCCACTCAGCCTGCCCTCCGTCCTGCATACCGTCCCACGCCGACCCACTCGCTGCCGCCTCCTGCACCTGTCTGCTCCAGGGGCGCCCCTGATGCAGCAGATGTGCATGGCGCTTCCGTCTCGTCCGGGCACCTCCACCCTGTCTTCTGTCTTGGTCATTTCACCGACATCTGCTGGGGCAGGTTGGCCCTGGCCGCAGACGGGCTGGCCCTGACCTGTCCAGTAGGGGAGGAGGGAGCGTGGGCGCTGACCAGCAGGGGTTCATCGGTGGTGGGCTAGGAAGGTACAGGAGGTGCTGATGCCACTTTGCCCCCAAACGTGTGGAACCCCTAGTGTCCTCCTGAGCTCCCTACCCGTGGTTGTTAGTCTTTAAAGGGGTTTTAGTGGTAAAATAATTGGCATTCACGTTACCGGGTGTTTCTCTAACTGGAATTTGATAGGTTTTTTTTTTTAGCAAATTATTTGACGCTTCTTTTTTTTTTTTTTTAAATATTTATTTATTTATTTATACAAGCACTGGGCACAGTCAGAAGCGCGGGAGGGTGAGAGAGCTCACCAGAGCCAGAGCAGGGAGCAGAGCAGGCAGAAGGACCGAAGGACACTGCTGAGGGGAGCAGCGGGCGGCAGGAGAGGTCTGCACGCCATGTGGGACCCTTCGCCGGTGGCCAGGGAGCAGCCGGGGATCGAACCGGCGCCGCTGAGGCCGCGGGCAGCTTTGCAACCCAGCGCTCAACCGCTGCGCCACCGGGGAGGCCCCTTGATAGGTTTTTGTGTTCAGCTTTTATGACTTATAAAAAGTTCCTTTGAAAGAGTTGCAGATGTATAGAAAGCTGCAGGTTTGTACAGAGAGCTTTTATTTGAAAGTAAGATGCCAAACACAATATCCTGTTACCCCGCATCCTTTCTGTCTCAGGCAGGAGTCAGAGCTGTCCCGCTCACCTGTCGCCTGCTGGCCACCGTGCAGTCCCTCCGTTCAGTCGGGAACGGGGCCTGTTTCCCTTCCATAGCGTTCTTGTTAAAAGTGTGTTGACTTTAATTGCATTTTTGGAGCGGAGCAGCCATTGCCACACGCTCCACTGGAGCGTTTCTAGCAGCCCCACCCGCCACGCCAGCCACGGCCATCGCTGCGGACCCCGCGGCCAGCTGGTGGCTTCCGCGGAGACCGTCTCCGCGGCGTCTGTCTCTGGACTTGTCCTTTCTGCGTGTGTCCATGTGTGGACCGGGTGGCACGAAGACTTCTCAGCGCAGCGTGGTGGGGGCGCGTCCGCACCGAGTCGCCTGTGTTCACAGGCGCAGCCCGTGGTGTGCCCCCTGCCCCCAGGTGCTGGACGCCGGTGGTTATGCCCTTGGGCTCCAAGGGGTGGCACTGCCGCCTGACCTGGACACCCCACCATCAGCCAGTTCAGTGTCTGAACTCGGGTTTGTTTCTTGGGTTTCTGTGACCACACACCCTGCACCCCCGTGGTTGTTGAGTGTTTCGTGGGCAATGTCTGGCCCCCATGGGAGTTGGCGCCCGCTCCCGGCAGACGTTCTGTGCAGGCGCTTCAGTCGCCGTGATGGGGGCGTGTGGTCCAGTGGGTTGTGCTTCAGCTGCTGTTGCTGTGCCTCGGACTGGGACTGGGGGAGGATGTTTTACTGGACGAGCCCCCCGAGTTGGTCAGGAACGGAGATGGGAGCAGGTGGCCTGCTGCTGCTGTGCAGCGTCTGGACGGCGTTTGGGAAGACATAGAGGCCTGGCGGGGACAGCTGCAGGCTCTGGAGGAACCTTCTCTGCCCTGGGGGTGGCTGGTGTGTGCGGGGCACCTCTGTGGCGCTCTGGGGCCGCCTGCCATGGGCTGCATGGGGCCCAGGCGTCGGGGCCAGCTGAGCCCCTTACGGCATCTGTCCCTGTGGAGCAGGCCCAGCAGCAGCCGAGCAGGGTGCTTGGGGGGCGACGCGGCCCTGGTCCCGCCTCCTCTGGGGGTGAGGTGGCCACAGCCCTTATCCTTTCTCTGGGGAGGAGTGTCAGGGTCACCTTCGAAAAAAAGCGCGGGGGCGGGGCTGCGGTGGCATCACCTTGAGAAGATGCGGCCCGCACGCTGTGGCCTGCCCCTTGGTGTGACCTGATGCCCAGGTTGTGCCTGTTTGGTGTGGGGGGACCTGAGCTGGCCTCTCTCAGGCCCTTCGGTTTGTCTTGCCGCCCCTTGAGCAGCTGCCTTCCGCGCTGAGGCTCGGCAGTTGGGTCCCGGGCCTGGGGTCGGCTGGTTTCTCGAGGCGCCCAATTCCCTTCAGTGGGGGCATGTTGTGCCAAGGGGGCCGTCCCCACTCTCTCTGGACAGGGCGGTGGGCACGCGCCATGGACTGCCAGGCCCAGCTGTGCCTCCTCTAGCAGGCAAGAGTGCGGGGTTTGTTCTAAGTTACGTCTCTCCAGGTGTTTCAGGTGTTACGCCTTGTCAGGGTTCGTTTACACCCGTGGAACTCACCGTGTCGAGGGTGTGCTCCAGCGACCTGTGGAGGTTTGCGGAGTCGGCCTGAGCCGCACCAACGATGCTCACTCTGGGACCCTGTCGTTCTCAGACGAGGACCTGTTCCCGACCCGTCACTGCCCAGTCTCCTCAGACAGGGCGACCACTGTGTGCTGTCCGCGGGGCTCTGTCTCCAGACTTGTCTGTTCTGGACACTTAATGCAAACGGGCCCTGCAGTGGGCGCCTCTGTGCCTGCCCCTGCGTGCCGTGCGCGTCCCGGGCGCGCCTGGCAGTCGGCGGCAGCCCTACGTGTCTCCTGTGGCTGCCGAGGCCTGTTGGGGGCCGCGCCGCGCTTTGCTGCCCGCTCATCACCCGCGGCCCTCGGTCTTCCTGCCTGCCGGCTGTGTGGACAGTGGCCGCGGCCGGGAACGGCGGGCAGGTCTCGCGCGGGTGCGGACTCGACTGCTCGTGGGTGGGATTGCGGCTCCTGTGACACGTCCGCGCGTCTCCTCTGCCGCCAGCGGTGTGGGGACCGCGGGTGGCCGAGTGACCGCGCGCTGCGGTGTCTTTCTGGGGGTGAGTTCCGAATCAGAACCGCGACTTGCAAGTTCTGTCCCGTTTTGTGGCTTCTCTCTTCAGTTGTTTGATGGTGTCCTTCAAAGCGCAGAGTTTCTCATTTTGGAACTTTGCCTTATTTTTTTTTTGTTTCTGGGTATTTTTTGTGTCCTAGCTAAGAATTCATTGCTAAATCCAATGGCACAAAGATTCATGCTCATGTTTTCTTCTGAGTTTTCCAGTTCTTGTTCTGGTGTGCAGGTGTCGGAGCCACTTTGAGTTAGTCTTTGCGTGTGTTTAAGGGGAGAGTCCAGCTTCTTTCTCCTGCACGTAGATGCCGAGTTGCCAACATAATGAGTTGAAAATTACTGTTAGTGTTTTACCAAACTTGTTTTTTTTTTTTAAAAACGCCTCTGTGCGTGTATGTACATACAACCATACCTACTGCAATTTTGTTTTGTTCCCTTTGAAGGAAAATTTCAAAAATGTTTCAAATTCCTGTGGAAAATCTTGACAACATCAGAAAGGTACGAAAGAAGGTGAAGAGCATCCTGGTGGACATTGGGCTCGACAGCTGCAAGGAGGTGCTGAAGGTAAGCGGGCGAGCGAGGAGGTGCGGGCCTGTGAGGTGCAGGCGAGGCTCTGGGGGTTTGTGACGAGCAGGTCAGACCCCTCTGAGGGTGAGTGCTGGGCGTGACCGCGTGGACACGGCCGGGCTCTGGGGTCCTGACTTGCCGTGACCGCAGGAAGCACTGCTGGTGTTTGAAGTTCCTTTGAGGCGGGGATTTTGTAGTCGCGAGTTACAGAATCTGTTTGTTTTCGTCTCTGTGAGGAATTGTTGCATTATTTGCTGTTTTAGCTGAAGAAGACCCTGACGTCACTTGCCAGGATGGTCAAGTCAGCAGGCGATGCAGCACAGGAGAGCGCGTTTCTGGGTCTGGTTCGTGAATTTCATAGACGCAGCTCAGTAAAGTCCACAAGCCGCGGTCACAGTCACAGACCTGACGGGCGCTGCGTCCCGCGAGGTGTCTCCCCGACTGGGCGGCAGGGGCTGGCGACGGGGCAGGGGCGGGGGTGGGGTGGGGGGGCGCCGGGGAGTAGGGCTCTGCCTCTAGCCCTCTAGTGCAGTGTGGGCTCCCTGCACGCTGCGAGGAGGCACGGCGTCTGCTTTTAGAATCTGTGAGAACCGGATTTTACGATTACTGATCTTAGAAGAGTTTGGTTCTTAATTTTCGGATCTCATGACTGTGAACCAGATTTTTGTTTACAGAAAGGCAGTCTGACGCAGAGAGACTGGCGGTTACCAAGGTTCTCTCTTATGGTCCAATTAACTTTGGCTCTCAAGTCATCGGCGTTGACTTCTGAAGGACGCCGGACAGGTTCTGCTTTCCCCAGCGCGCGCCTTGTGCCTGAGGCCCGGCGTCTCCCCACGGGAGCGTGAGAGGCTGAGGCCCTCGCTGCCTCTCCCCGCGTGTTACCTGGAGCTTGGACGCTTGACAACATGTATTTTTTGACAGATATTTTTTAAGTACACATGTGAAAGTAAAACCTAAGTGGAGAACGCTTTTTCCGTCAGACCCGCTACCCGGCCTTTTGGCAGCCCCGGGTGGAGTCCCTGCCCACGGCAGCAGGGCCCGCCTGGCGTCTGCAGTGCCGTCCAGGAGCCCCGCGCACGGGGGTGGAAGTAGCGTCACGGCTTGGAGACAGGCCGAGCGGCAGGTTGAGGGCTCAGAGCCCCTTGTCGTGACTCGTGCGCCTTTGGTGCTGGCAGGGCACGAACGTGATGGCCGGGAGCGCGAGTGTGTGGGCTGGTGGCATGGGTGGGCGGCATGGGCCGTTTTGGGGGGTCTCTGGGACGGCACCGCGGGGGGGGGCAGTCAGCCGTGCTGCCTCTGTGAGGGCTGCACCCCCTAGGCCTTAGTGGGACTCTGCCCGCAGCCCTCCTAGCCCTAACCCTAACCGTGTCATCTGCTCCTTGGGCCTCGGTGTCTCGTGGCCACGGCGGAGTCTCCTCACCCCTGCCGGGCAGTGGTGGCTTAGCAGGAGCTGGGCCAGGTGCAGAGCAGGTCGCAGTGCGAAGCTACAGAGGCCCTTTCCTGAGGAGGGGCGCGGACTTGCCTTTGAAGGGCCAGGCTCTCCAGCCTCCGGAGCCCAGCCATCAGCCCCTATCAGGCCGGTTAAGTGGGTTTGGGTTTCTTTTAAATTGTTCTATTTGGAGACAATAATTCAAATTTACAGAAGAGTTAAAAGAATTGGGCCTCTCTGGTGGCGCAAGGGATTGGGTCTCAGTGCTGTGGAGCTGCCTGCAGCCCCTGCAGCATGAGTTTGAGCCCTGGCCGGGAGTGACCCCCAGGGCGCAACAGACCTGCCCGCTGCCCCCTCAGCAATGCGTCTCAGTGGATCCGCCGATTCTGCCCCCCACTCTGTCTCTGGGGAGTCCTCTCACCCCCACACCTCTGGCCTGCACCCCAGTTCTTGTATTTATAAGTAAATAAATCCTTCAAAAAAAAAGGATAGGAATTGCACAGCCCGCCTGCTGCCCTTCAGCAGCGGCAACACACTCGTTGGGCCTGGGCGCTGACACGGCTTCTTGGTTCCTCTAACGGGAATTTCACTTTTAAAGGTGGGATTCTACGGAATTGGCTTTGCTTTATTTTTAGAGGAAATGTCAGTGCCGGCACAGTGTTTCATCCTGAGCCCTCAGCTTGGGTGGGTAGATGGCCCAGGCGCTGCCCTCCTGTGCCCACGGGCCTCCACAGCGGGGTGGGCCCGGAGCTGCACAGCCGGTGGAGACTGCTGAGCTCATCGTGACTGACTGATTCTCTCTCATTCCTTCGTAGTGATTCTGAGTTTCAGGAAATTTAAAAATTTTAAAAACTGAAGCAGTGTTAAAATTCGTTACAGGAAAGTTAGAAAATATGGACAGAACATGTTTATACGTATACATAAACCTACACATGGGAAAAATACTCAGTTGTAAACAGTCACCCCGAAATACCCATTGTTGACATTATTCCATGTCTTCTAGGTTTTTAAAAACGGGGCGTGGTCAGACTGTTTACAGGGCTCTACTGGGTGGTCTGGCCTTTCTCTGAGTCTCAGCGTAAGAACCTCCCTCCACGTCACAGGCGCTCTCCGTCCACTGCGGTCTGCGGTGTCTTTGTTCAGGCAGCAGAAACCAGCTCTGACCAGTGTAGTCAGAAGTCTGTAGGGGCTGGCAGGGGGCCCGCCCCGGAGACAGGCTCAAGGGACTCTGCGCCTGTTCCTTCCTGCCCCTGAGCAACGCGCTGGTGTGCCCAGGGCGGCGGCCGGAGCATGTAGTTCTCCCTGTGCCAAGAGTTGGTTCCGAGCCTGGCTGGGGAGCACCCTGAGGACCCAGACACTGCCAAGGAAGAGCCTCAGGTCCTCCCCTGCTGCCCAGAGGTCTCCTGAGGGACCTTAGCTGGCGTCCAGGCCATGAAGCACTGGGCATTGGCTCCAGGACACAGCACAGAGTGCACGTGGGGCCTGGCCGGCCTGTAGGCCACCGCCTCTGCAGCATGGGTGGGAAACCACCTCAGCGCAGGGCGCACGGCACTCGGCCCGGGTGGGCTCCAGGCCCCGGCCTTGCTTGCCAAACACTGGTGGCGCCACGAGCCTCAGGGCTCCGGGGGCCTGGTCGAGTGGGCCAAGTTGCTCGCCCGGCCGAGTTCTTGGGGTGTTTCGTCGTCAGGGTGTTGGGCTCTGTCACGCGTCACTCTGTGAGCACCAACTCTCCGCCCTGGTGACATGGCGCATCTCCCTGTGGGCGTGTCTCCGGCCCCCCCTTGCTCACCTGGCGTGAGTCCCCTGGGTGGGTGCGGGTCCTTGAGGCTGGGGCTGGCTTGTGAGCGCTGGGCACGGGGGTCGCTGTCCCCCTTCACGGGAGCACCTGTCGTGCTGTTTGCCTGCCTGTGCTTGGGTTAGGCCAGGTGTGGCACTGCCTGGAGAGTGGCCGGGTGCCCTGGGGCGGTGCCCGTTGCCGTGACGTGTCTGGGAGGCGTGGGGGCACCGTTGGCCCGGTCTCTGTCAGGTTGTGACTCCCAGCTGCACCCCTGCTGCGGCCCTCTGCCTCGCCTTGAGCCCCGCCTCTTGAGGGCTTGGCTCCTGGCCGCAGGCGGCTCTCGTCTGACCCTTCCGTTTCCGTGAGTCCAGGTGTGTGTCCCGTGCTCCTCTCTGATTTCAGGGTGTTTTGGTCTCTTTTCTCTTCTCTGTCAGTCCAGCCGACATTGTAAGCTCCGCGGGTCTTTCCAAGGAAGCTAAGCTCGGCGCGCGCGGGTTTGCTCCGAGCCGCGTTGTCAGGCTGTAAATAGTGACGAGAAATTTTCTGCCACGTTTGTCCTTAATACATGTTCGATTCTATCCGCTATTTCTCCACATTTCCCGTATAAAACCTAAGGAGTTTCTTTCCGGAGCTGGAGCGTGAGTGGGTGGGGCCGTCCTGCCCACTGTCCCCTGGCTCAGCGCAGCCTGCCCGGCGGGTCCGTGAGGCATGGGCCTCGCGCGCTGGGTGTCGGGGAGGCCAGGCTGCCGCTGCGGGAGGACAGGGATGGCGCCGTGGGGCGGGGGAGGCCCGGCACCCCAGGGAGGTCCCTGCTGAGTCTCGCGGGCGTCAGCCGCCCACCTCCTCTGGCGGTGCCGCTGGGGCGGGCGCCTTCAAGGGACAACTGTTTGACGCTCAAAGAAGTGATGGGGAAAGGGCGTTAGAAGGAAAACAAAACAGGTCTGCAGAGTTTCGCAGCATCTGGAGCACTTTTGGAGGGAGGCTTAGGTGGGAACGGTGGGCGCGGCCCCTTCAGTGGGGACCTGGGCCCGTCGCCCGCTGGCGTATCGCGAGCTCCTGCCTGGCCGCTTCCCTTTGTGTCTGGCGCCTCCCTTCCGCCCAGAGGCCGCTCCCTGGAGGCTCCTCGTCCTCCTCAGACATACCCTGGAAAGTCCACCTCGCTGTGGACGACCCGTCCTCCCCAGGGTGTCCCTCCCATGCCAGGCTCCGCGCCGGGCTGTGTGGTGGAGGTGGCCGTCGGTGTGTCCCCCGCCCTCTGGGGTGTGTCCGGTCAGGATCGTGGGGACGCTCTCACCCCGGTCCTGACTCACCGGGGCGGGGGTGGGGGGGAGCTGCGTTGGGGTCAGAGAGCTCCAAGATGAGCAGTGGCGGGAACGGCCCATCCAGCAGGCCCGAGGGAGGCTCGGCCAGCGGCTCCACGTCTTCCCTGCAGACATGGCGAGATGCATTGGGGCCCCTCATGTCTCGTCCAGTTGCGGCCTCTGCCCTTCGCCCTTTGGCTTCTTTGTTCTGGACACACCCCCAGCCCTGTCTGTCTCCCGTGAGGAACCCTGGTTGTTTTCTCTGTTCTTCGCCTAGTATTTTATTTTGGAAATTTCAAATCTATAGACATGTTGACCGGGTTGTGCAGCGAAAACCTACCCACGGCACAGGTGTGCAGTAGCCTGCTGCTGGCGGCTGCATGTCCCTCCCCAGCTTCACCTGCATCCCTCCAGGGGGCCGTTGGGGCTCGTGGACGCTGGGGCACCCTGCCCTGGAGCTTGTGCTCCAGCAGCCGAAGAGTGCAGACAGCTTCTGTGGGTGCAGTTCTCATGCTGAGAGCGCCCACAATGCCCCCTGCTGACCGCCCAGCCCATGCCCAGCCCCTCAGGATGCAGAAGGGCTTCGTGGTTCCCGCTCTCCGTTTGGGGGAGTCTCACGCAGGGCAGGTCGCTGCGTCTAGGTGAGCAGGGTCACCCCAAGCACCTAGCTGGGCCGGACGCTGGCCGTCACTCCCCAGCCTCGGCCCCACCTAGCGGTGTCCACGCGGCTGTGTTGGTGTGGTGGTTCTCATGAAGGAAGTTCTCAGGAATGGTCTTGTAAACGTATTTTGGAAAAATTACCTTGATGTCACATCACAAGGCCGTGTCTGTTTAGTTTGGCAGGAGGAGGCCGAGCCCTATCGGGGTGGCTGTGGACTCTGCTCCTGCCCGCAGCTGTGCCCATGATGCTCGGAGCTGCCCCTCGGCCATCTGTGTGATGCCGGTGCCCGCTGCCTGGTGTGGGCCATGAGCCACGTGCTTGCAGGCTCCTTTTTGAACTCGAAAGCAAAAATTATGACTGGATGTTGGAGCAGGCAGCATCTATGGGATAAATTCCAGGTGGTGCTTGTGTACGTTCGGTCATTCTGCAGCATTTCTGTGAACGATGTTTCTTTCTTTCTTTCTTTTTTTTTTAATAGAGGCATGTTATTTATTTACTTGTTTGTTTGTTTACACAAGCACTGGGTACAGTCAGAAGCGCGGGAGGGTGAGAGAATTCACCAGAGCCAGAGTGGGGAGCAGAGCAGGCAGAAGGACCGAAGGACACTGCTGAGGGGAGCAGCGGGCGGCAGGAGAGGTCTGCGCGCCACGTGGGACCCTCCTCCGGTGGCCGGGGAGCAGCCGGGGATCGAACCGGCGCTGCAGAGGCTGCGGGCAGCATCGCAACCCAGCGCTCAACTGCTGCGCCACCAGGGAGGCCCTGTGAACGATGTTTCTTTTCTTTCATCCTGTCTGTGTTACGGTTTGGTGTCCGGGTAATGATACCTTAAGGCATGAACTGCAGATTTTTCTTTCTGTTTTCTGGAGTGTGTGGAACTGGGAATGTTTCTGTAGGGGTAGACCCCACGGAGCCCCTGGACTCAGCTCTGCCCGCGGAGGGCTCAGGCCGCACCCCATCACCCCCCGCACTGTGTCTCCACTCCTGGGGCCGGGCTCGGCTTCGCTTAAAGACTGTGTTGGCAGAGCCCCTTGACTTGCCCCCCGCTGGAGCGAAGTGAGGTCCGGTCCCCTGGGTCTGCTGCCTGGTCTGTGCCTGCTGTGCCCCGTGCTGGGGCTCAGCTCTTGTCTGTGATGCAGTTTTGGGTTTGTTGATTTTCTTTTCTCTGTTCTGTTCTCTGTTATCTTTGCTCATCTTTAGGGTTTCCTGTGTTAGTTTAAAGCTCATCTAGCCTTTTAGTTGGGTTTCTTGAGGTGGCAGCTTGGAGCGGCGCTTTCCCGGTGTCTTGTCCTGCGGGTGCCTGAGCTGGCCACCTTCTGCAGGTAGACGTGCCACCTCAGCCTTGAGTTCCTCTGGCTCATCTTGGGTACACGGATTCTTCCCCCCCCCCTAAAGATTTATTTATTTACTTATGCAAGCACTGGGTACAGTCAGAAGTGCGGGAGGGTGAGAGGATTCACCAGAGCCAGAGCGGGGGGCAGAACAGGCAGAAGGACCGAAGTACACTGCTGAGGGGAGCAGCGGGTGGCAGGAGAGGTCTGCGCGCCATGCGGGACCCTCACCTGGCGGCTGGGGATCGAACCAGCGCTGCAGAGGCTGAGGGCAGCTTCACAGCCCAGCGCTCAACCGCTGCGCCAGGGGAGGCCCAAGGGCCCACGGATTCTATAGTAGAATGTCCGTTTCTGGAAATCTGGATTCTATAGCTACAGGTTTGGTTTTGCTTTTGCTCAGGTCGCAGACGAACTGTTTTCTCTGGGGTGGGAGCTTTGCTCCTGGGCAGCATGGGAGCTCTGCCTCCTCGGCCCGTGGGGTTTGGGAGGGGGCGTCTCACATGGGCAAACCGGGGCCTGTGTGTGGTGGGCGGCTGGTGGACGGCCCCTTCCTGTCCCGGCGCTTGTGGGTCTTTCTATGCTTGGCGGGAAGAAAATCGTCGCCACTATAGTTTTTTTTTGGTCTTATCTGTTCTTTGTTTCTATAATTCCTTTTCTGCTTGCTTTCTTTTAATTGACTGTTTTCTATGACTCCCATCTTATCCCCATTTTGCCTTATTAGCTTATTTGTCTGCTCTGTGGCCGGTGTGGTCTGGGGCCCTCTCGGCCCTGCACCAATCCCTACGCCATCTCGCTGGCCACACAGTGGACCCCGGTTCAGGTTCTCGTGAGCATTTGCATAACAGATGATTAAAATGTCAACTGTTGCCTTTCTGTCAGGTCTCGCTGTCCACATTGTTGTGCAGTCTCGTCTCTGCATGTGAGCAGTACACGTGTGTGCGTTTCGTCACGGCAGCCCGTATTGTCCCGGTCTTTGTTTTCTGTGTCTCTCACCTGCCTTCGTCTGTGTCACCAGGTGTCTGTTTCCTCTGAGGCCAGTCCCCGATCAGGCTCTGCCAGCCGCACCCCATGTCCTGTTGCTTTGGGCTCCGACCACCAGCCCAGCCTTGGCCTCCCTCCCGAGCTTCTCCGTCGCACTCTGTGTCGGCTCACAGTTCTCTTAGAAACTGTGCAGGCGTGTCTATTTCTTTCTTGTAAACACTGTGCTTCTAGCTTAGAGCTTGCCCACCGCTGGGCGCCTCCCGCTGCCCTTGGTGGACAGGTCGCCCCGGAGTACCCAGGGGGACGGTTCTTGAGCTTCTGAAATTGCATAACGCTCTGTCTTTTTCTCCCTTTTTAAAAGGAACTTAGAGCCTTTGATCCAGGAGAAAAGTATTTTTGTAATACATCGTGGGGAGATGTTTCTCTCTGGGAACCTTCTGGAAAGAAAGTGGTAAGTACTTTGGTTGTTTTGTTGGTATTCATGTCCTTTGCAAGTGGGAGTAAGTATCCGTTGAGTTCTGAGCCAGACCCCAGGTGTCTGGGTTGCTGATGGGGGGACGGTGGGTAATAGCCAGGGAAGTAGAAAGGAAGATAAAGTTTCATGGGGTGGGGGGTGTCTCTCCCAGACCCTCTGTCCTGACTCCATCCGCCTCCTTGCGGGATTCCTTCCTCTGAGGCTTCCTGGAGGCCCGGTGGCTCTGGCTCAGGCAGGGACTGCAGGTCTATGCAGCTGTGCTCTCCCCTGGTGGTGTTGGAGCATGGAGTGGCCAGGGGGCTGGCTAGGGGGCAGGAAGGAGGGCAAGCTGGGGGCTGGCAGGGGCCGGGCTGGGGCCAGGAAGGGGAGGGCAGGCTGGGAGCAGGAAGGGGGCAGGCTGGTGCTGGTTGGGCCCTAGGGCCGATGGCATGGGGCCTCTGTCCAGGGCTTGTCTATTGGGCACCAGGACACCCTCTTCCGTAACTTGCGCAGATCTCTTGTCCACTTCCTAAAAATTGGTCATTTTTGTTCTTTCCGGCCTGTCGCAGCATGTGGTGGGCGCTGCCCTCCATGAGGCCGCGGCTGCAAAGCGGTGTCTTTCTGAGAGCTGATGAGTTTTGACTCTGACAGGGTCCCGCTTGTCATTTTTAATTTTTATGGCTCAAGTTGATGGTGTCATTTTCAAGAGCCCTTTCCTTCCAGCTCAGGGATCTGCTGACCAATAGGCACGAGTCCGCGGACTCCCAGGAGTATCGTTTTCATTGCGCGTGGGGTCGCAGGGACGCGAGACCTTGGTGTCCGAGCTGCTGATAAACTGGTCTGCCCCCACGTCTGCCAGGCCGCAGCTGCAGATCTGCCCAGGCTACAGAGACTGAAATATAAAAGAAGTTTCTGTTAGAATTGGTAAAATCAGGGTTTTCTGAGTCTTGTCTCGCAGCTGTAGTCTTGGATTAGTTATAGATGCTGGCAGAAAAGGCAGAACCTGTGATTTTGCTGGTTGCTGAGCATTCAGCAACATGGTGCTGAGGGTGTGCGGTGATGCGTCTGCCCTGTGACCCGAGGGACCCGCGAGTGTGGGAGAGAAGGCGGTGGTCTGGTGGGGGGGGGTGCGTGGGAGGGCGCTGGAGGGCCCTGGAGCAGGCTTGGCCACGGCGGCCATGACAAGGAGAAGCGAGTGCAGCTGGCAGGTGCCTGGGCTGTGGGGAAGCTGGACCTGCATGTGCACCTTTCGGCCCAGCCTCTGCCAGTTCAGTGGCCACATGGCTCCTTGGGCTGCCCGATCACTGTGCTGCCTTCCCTGGGTGCCAGCGTCTGGAGGGGGGCACGACGGCCGGACCCTCATCAGGGTGGTTTGGGGTCTATGATCTCAGAGGCTCCCTGGTCCCAGAGGAGTGAGCACGGGTGGCCAGGAGAGCTGGGTGGGTGGGGGATGTAACTGCACGGCTATGGCCTGGTCTGTTTGGACACCACAGCGCCTCCTGGGGCCTGGGCCTGAGGGTCGGTGCAGGCCGCTTGTTTAGTGCAAACTAAGGATACTCGCGTAGTTTTTGATGCTTGAGAATGAGAAAACGAGAAGTCACGTTGGGTGATGCGGGGTGTCAGGTGAGCCAGGCCCACGCGGGGAGATACCCCGCTGGCGCTCACGGGTGGTCACGCATGTCCATGTCTCTGGGTGGCTCTGAGCAGCAGCCACAGAGGCTGCCGGGTCCCCAAGCCCCAGCACCTCCTCTGGCCCATGAGGGAGCTGCCCTGGCCTAGAGGAGGCCCGGCCCCCCGGGATCCCCAGGCGCCGAGGAAGGGAGCAGTGGGCGAGCAGTGGGCGGGCAGGGGCGGGCCCACTCAGCGGACTCTCTTATCTTGACAGAGGTACCGGACGAAGCCGTACTGCTGCGGCCTCTGTAAGTACTCGACCAAAGTGATCACCTCCTTCAGAAACCACTTACACCGCTACCATGAAGATGAGCTCGACCAGGAGCTGGTGATCCCCTGCCCGCGCTGCGTGTTTTCCTCCCAGCCCAAGGTGGTGGGCCGGCACTTCAGGATGTTCCACGCGACTGCCCGCAAAGTGCAGCACCTGCCCGGGGACGTCCTGGGGGAGGCCCGGCCACCCCGGAGTGACGTCGTCAGTTTCACATGCTTGAAGTGCAGCTTCTCCAACACCCTGTACTACAGCATGAAGAAGCATGTGCTGGTGGCCCATTTCCATTACCTGATCAACGCCTACTTTGGCCTGCGAACTGAGGAGACGGAGCACCCCAAAACTGACGAGTCCGCCCCCGAGAAAGCGCCGCCTTCCGACAAGTATTTCTGTAAGAAGTGCCACGCTGGCGCCAGCAGCCAGGACGCGCTCATGTACCACATCCTGACCTCGGACGTGCACAGGGACTTGGAGAACAAGCTCCGCTCAGTGATCTCGGAGCACGCCAGGAAGGCCGGGCTGCTCAAACAGACGCACATCGCGCCCAAGCCGGCTGCGCCCCCAGGCAGCAGTGCCCCTGGCCTGCCTGCTGCAGCTCCTTGCTTTCACCTCGCCCTGCCGCCCACTAGCCCGGGCCCGGCTGTTGTCCGGCCCGTGCAGGGCTCGGTCCAGCCTGCGACTGTGGCCCCGGGTGCGTCCGGAAGCCTCGCTTGCTCTCCACCTGCCGGGGCCCAGCCCCAGCCCCAGCCCCGGGTGACGCTGGTCTCCAGCCCCTTGCCGGTGCCCCAGAGCAGCCTGGCCCTGCAGCCCTCGGCGCCCCAGCCCGTCTTCCTTTCCCCTGGAGTCCCACTCGCCCCATCGACCAACCCCCCCGTGTTGCCTGTGAGCCAGACTGTGGGGCCAGGCGTCCTCCCCATCGGCCAGGCCATCCGCCCCGGGGGCCTGCCCCTCAGCCAGCCCGTCGGGCCGGGGGTTCTGTCAGTAAACAGACCAGTCGGATCTCGTGTCCTTCCCGTTAGCCCCTCGGTCACCCCCGGGGTTCTTCAGGCCGTCTCCCCAGGGGTGATTTCTGTCAGTCGGACAGTCCCCTCAGGGGTCCTCCCTGCTGGCCAGATGACCCCTGCAGGGGTCATCCCTTCGGGACAGACGGCGACTTCCGGGGTTCTCCCTGCTGGCCAGGTAGCGCAGTCAGGGGTTCTCCCCAGTGGACTGACGGCCCCGCCCCGGGTTCTCCCCCCCGGCCAGACGGTCCCCCTGAGGGTCCTCCCTCCTGGCCAGGTGGTCCCGCCGGGACTCCTTTCTCCCAGCCAGACTGTGGCGCCGGCGGTTCTCCCTGTGAGCCCAGGTCTGGGCTCTGGTGTCCTTCAGCTCAGCCAGCCCGTCGTGTCTGGCGTTCTTCCCGTAGGCCAGCCAGGGAGGCCCGGGGTCCTGCAGCTGAGCCAGCCCATGAGCCCCGGCATGCTGCCAGCCGGGCAGCCCGTGCGCCCTGGCACCTCTCAGGGCACTGCTTTCCTCACCTCGGGCTCCATCCTCAGACAGCTCATCCCCACCGGCAAACAGGTGAATGGCATCCCCACATACACGCTCGCCCCAGTGTCAGTCACCTTGCCTGTGCCCCCTGGGGGCGTGGCCACCGTGGGGCCCCCCCAGGTGCCCATCCAGCTCCTGCAGTCTGGCACAGCTGCGCAGATGGCCAGTCCGGTGGCAGGTGTGCCTTCGCCGCCGGTGGTGAGCGCCCCCCAGGTCCCGTCCGCGCAGGCCTCTTCCTCGGCGGTGGAGGTGAGCCCGGCACTGAAACAGGCGAAGCAGTGGAAGACGTGCCCCGTGTGCAACGAGCTCTTCCCATCCAACGTCTACCAGGTGCACATGGAGGTGGCCCACAAGCACAGCGAGGCTAAGGCCGCTGAGAAGCTGGAGCCGGAGAAGCTGGCGGCCTGCGCGCCCTTCCTCAAGTGGGTGCGGGAGAAGACGGTGCGGTGCCTGTCGTGCAAGTGCCTGGTGTCCGAGGATGAGCTGATGCGTCACCTTCTGCTGCACGGCTTGGGCTGCCTCTTCTGCCCCTGCACCTTCCATGACCTCCGAGGCCTGGCGGAGCACAGCCGGACCATGCACCTGGGCAAGAAGAAGCTGCCCGTGGACTACAGCAACCGAGGCTTCCAGCTGGACATCGACAGCAACGGCAGCCTGCTCTTCCCGCACCTGGACTTCATCACCATCCTGCCCAGGGAGGCACTGGGTGAGCGGGAGGTCTACCTGGCCGTGCTGGCCGGGATCCATTCCAAGTCGCTGGTGCCCGTGTACATCAAGGTCCGGCCCCAGGGCGAGGGCGCGCCCGGGAGCCCCCGGCCGGCGCTGACTTGCCCCTTCTGCTTTGGCTCCTTCGTGACGCCCGAGGCCTACGAGCTGCACCTGAAGGAGAGACACCACATCACACCCACTGTCCACACCATCCTCAAGTCCCCAGCCTTCAAGTGCATCCACTGCTGTGGCGTCTACACTGGCAACATGACCCTGGCGGCCATTGCCGTCCATTTGCTGCGCTGCAGAAGCGCCCCCAAGGACAGCAGCTCCGACCTCCAGGCCCGGCCGGGCCTCGCGGAGGACAGTGAGCTGCTCTGGGTCAACGGCGAGGGGACGCCGGACTCTAGCCTCACTGCCAAGAGGAAGCTGCCTGATGGCCACCTTGGGGCTGATGACCAGAGGGTGGGGGAGGAGCGGCCCCTGCTCATCCACATGGAGGCCACCCCCCCAGAGAAGGGGGCGGCGCCTCCCAAGAGACAGAGGAGCGAGAGCCGGACAGAGGGGCCGCCAGCCAGCGAAGACCCTCTTCAGATTTTAGCATTGAACCCTAAGAAATACGAGGACCGTTCCTATGAAGAGAAGAAGCAGTTTCTCAGAGATTATTTCCACAAGAGACCTTACCCCAGCAAAAAGGAAATAGAACTGCTGTCCTCCCTCCTGTGGGTGTGGAAAATTGACGTGGCCTCGTTTTTTGGAAAAAGAAGATATATTTGCATGAAAGCAATAAAAAATCACAAGCCTTCTGTTCTTCTAGGCTTTGATATGTCTGAACTTAAACACGTCAAACACAGATTGAACTTTGAGAATGAATCACAAGACTTGTAAAAAAGCGTTAAGGAATTTAAAATAGATAGTTTTTTCAATTGAGATTTATTTTCTTCACTGTACGTTGAACTAATCAATTTCAGTGGTCTTTATGCTGCTCTTTAGAATTACTTCAGGTGCTCGGAGAGACTTCTGCGTCAGAAGTGAACAGTTCTTTCAGATGTATTGTTTCATGCAGTTTGATTTTGTAACACTTTTAGTTTCCTCTGTCGTGTAAATTAAATATTTTGATACTCATGCACGCTTGTTTTCCCATAGGGTCAGTGTCGTATCATAAAAGACTGAAATCAGCATGTGTTTCTTTCATTTAAGGAAACCCCACTTGTTTCAGAAAACTCGATTAGGAGAAAAGCTCCAGGCCCCTTCAGGCGGGCCTGGGTCCAGCGCTGGGATCCCGTGCGGTGTGACTTAGGCCGAGGTCTCCCGACAGGTGTGCTCACTTGATTAGCATTTTGTATTACTTTATTTTTCAGGTTTGTCCAGTTTGTTCCCCCCCACGACTCATGGAAAACCATGTTTCCATTTGCTGATAGACTGAAGCTGAGGCTGGTGCGCCGTGGCCCATAGTTATTCCACAAATAAAGTCACTGTAGGTGCAGAAGCACTCCCCACTGCAGGCTCCCCCTCTGACGCGTGACGAGTCGTTTCCCAGCCAGAGGTAAGACGAGAGGTCATTCGGGGTTCAGAAGAAACACAGAACACTCTCTGCCCAGCTTGGCTGCCCACAAAACCGCGGGAAGGGCCTGAGCCTCGGAGGGGGCATCTTCCGGGTCTGTGGTCAGTACTGGGTGCGGAGCCCGGCTTTCCTGGGTGGCCAGGTCTCTAGGGGCCCAGTTGGGCCGGACCCGCTTCCACAGCGGGTGGGCACGGCCCAGCTTTGGGGGCGAGGGTGCGCGGGGGACCCAGTGGCTCAGGTAATGGGAAGGGCTGCTAACTGGCGGCCCGCGTGCCCGTGTCCAGCGGCGGTCAGACCTTAGTTTTTCACACATTATGGGATAAAGCATGGGCGGTGGAAACTGGCCAGTTCAGGCTGGAGGGGTCTTGCTGGTGCTGCGCTGCATCGGCCCGGGGGCCTTCGGCCGGGCTGTGGGGACGGGAATGCTCTGCCGGGTTGTAAGAATCGGCTTGCGCGTCTGCCGTAAGGTGCGTTTTCTGAGGCGGTTGTGAAACTAGTCGTGGTTGGTGTGCTCTGTTCTAAGTTCAAAAAGACCTTCTGGAGTTTATTTTTTTTACCTATTTTCAGAGTGCCTGTTTTGAATTAAATTTGTTATTCCACTGCAAACAGAATGTTCGATTCTTTCAATGTCTCTGACCCGTCGGAATAGTCTGGATGTGGAAGCGAACACATTCGTTTTCCAAAAAACCGTTGTCGTGAATATCGTCCGCGTAACCAGAAGGGCTGGATTCGTGGCCAGCGTCGCGGACGGGCGTGGCCAGAGGCTCCTGCGCACCCCGGGCGAGGTCGAGTGCGCCCCACGCGGGGAGCCTGTGGCGGCGGGGCGCGGGGCCTCTGGGGGCGGGGCCTCCACCCCCAGGTCAGGGCACCGCACCCCCCCTGGCGGTGACCGAGCCCCGCGGGCCGCGCCGTGCTGGGGGGGGACCCTTCCTGCCGAAGCTGCTCTGTCTCCCCCGCCTCGCGGAGAGCCGCTTGGCCTGCGCCGCGCCTGGAGAGGCGCCTCCTGTCCCGGGGTGCCCCGGCGCGAGCCTGCTTCCTGCTGGGGGGCGGCCTCTGGGGCCGGCGGGCTCGGCGGCGGGGCAGGTGCTTCCATTTCCGCGGCGCCCCCACCCGCGCTGGGGCCCCGCGGGCCAGGCCGCGTCTCCCGGAACGGCGCGCCGGCCGCGGCGTCGGGCGTCTCTGGACGGGCCTGAGCCGGTGCCACGCGCGGGCTCTGCTCGGCCCGCGGCGGGCGGACCCGGCTGGCTGAGCGCGCCCCGCCCGGAGGCCGCCGCGGGGCTCCCGGCGCGCCCTGGCCGCGGGCTCCGCGCCGGCCTCCCGCGGGCGCGCCTGGACCTCGGGCGCGCGTCCCGGGGCTGGTGCCGGCTCGCGCCGAGGGACCCGCGCCCCGGGCACGAGGGAGGCGCGTCGCGTTCGGCGCGTGTTCTCGGCCGCAGCGCTGGACTCGGCCCGGCCCGCTGCGCTGAGACGGGTCCGGCTCTTTCCGGGAGCCGCGGGGGCAGCGCGCCGGCGCTCGCGGGCCTTTGCGCGGCGGCCCGTGACCCTCCCGGCGTCGCCGGCCGGACGCCAGGCGCGCTGCTGGGCCCGGGTTTGCTGGTGAGAATCGGGGCGTCCGCACACCGGCCTCCCTGCGCCACCCCCGCCCTCGGTTCGCGCTGGGAGCGGCGGGGCTTGTCCCTCCCGGCCGGTGCGCTGGAGGGTGGCGGCGCCGCGGGCTTCGGGGCCTTCGCGGGCAAGAGCGCGGGCCTGAGCGGGCCCGGACCCGGGTCCTCCTCTGTTCAGGCGCCCCGCGCGCCCCTGTAGGCGACGCCACCGTGAGCCGGGCACCGGAGGGCGCGAGGGGCCCCCTCCAGCGGGACCAGCCCCCGCGCAGGACGATGCGGCGCTAACAGGGCCCGGGCTGCCTCGCCGCGGTGCTGGGGGGCCTGCGAGAGGGCCGGCTCAGTCCTCGGCATTGGGCGAACCCACCAGCAGCCGCCCAGCGCGGCTCCTCTCTCAGGGCTTTGATGGCGTGTGGAGGCCCCCTCCAGGCCCTGCGCAGCCTCGGCTCCTGCCAGCGCAGCCGAGCCGGCCGGCCCAGAGAGGCCTCCGTGTCTCCGGGTCTGTGGCTGGGCCCCGAGGCTCCCGGTGCCGCCTGCTTGCGCGGTGCCAGCCCTACGCCCTGGCGGCCTCCTCGTCGCTGAGGCTGACCGGCCTCTGGGGCTCCAGATTAAGACTGATAGAAACTGAGCTCTTGGAGCACAAACAGATGTGCTTACAAATATAAAAAAATGAGAAGACCCCGATTAATTTCGTGGTAAAGGCCTTTAAACTGCCATTTAAAGGATGGTCAGAAATTGAGACAGGAGGAGAGTGTTTTATGTGCTGGTTACCAGAAGTTGTATCCCTAAAACTTTTTAAAAATCTACCGATGTAGACAGAGCAGCAACTTAGAAACCTCGCAGTGGCGTGCTCCGGCGGCAGCACGGGGGCCGGGATCAGACCCCAGAGTGTGGGGCCAGCCGGACTCTGGCTGGCCCTGGCACGGGATGGGGCACTGCCTGCCCAGAACGCTGAGCGCCTGGAGGTGCGGCCAGGTCCGCGGCAGCCGGGGCAAGCTGCCCTCGTAACTGGGCGCCCCACACCCCAACAGGGGCATACGTGGGGGTGGGCTCTGCACAGCTTGCTGTGAGTGGAAGATGCAGGGTCTTAAGTAAGATTTTAAAACTGGCCCAGGCGAAGATGCCGTCCAGTGGAGGTGCATCCAGGCACCCCAGGCCTTGAAGGGGCTGCCGCGTCGCGTTTCAGGCCTTCAGCAATGGCTGGTTAGTTGGTCTGGACTTGCCCTTGGGGATCTGGCTTCCCAACCCTTCTGGGTGCCTGCGGGGCGTGCCCGTGGCCAGGGGTGGTCTGCTGTGGGGACAGAGGTGCCGCTTTGCCTTTTTTTGGCCACGTGGGTGCTTTTGGGCCCCTCCCTGTGGGCTCAGAGCTGGGGGCTTCCAGCAAGGCCCCACCTCTGGGTGCCGCCAGGAAATTTCAGCCCAATTTCATTCTCTGTTATTACACTTAAATCTTCTCAGACCCACTTCCCCTGGAGCTGGTGACAGCAGCCCCCTTGCAAGCTGCTGGGTCTGGAAGCTCGTGTGTGTGTCTAGAGGTTGCATCTTCTGTTACAGCTATTAAATCTCAACATCCGTGTTTCTGATTCTTGACCACTTGTTCTAGCTGCTGGCCTTTAAGTCTAGAAATCACCAGTGACGAGGCTGCCACCTGGGGCCCTGCACGCGCGCATGCCCCGGACCCCCTTCTGCAGCGGTCACTGCGGCCACCTGCCTGACCTGCGATGCAGGAACAGCTGGGTGCGGAGTAGATGTTGGCCACCGAGGTGCCAGTCCTGCTGGTCCACGCCAGCCTCGGAGCCCTGTGGCAGCCGGAGGGGCGCCCTCAGACCGGGGTGCCCAATGTCTGCTGCCCGGGGGTGCCCCCAGCCACTCACAAGACAGGACCAACATGATTTTATTTTGAGCAAGTTAACAGTGCTGTGCAGAAGGGAAGCTTTTCCAGCTATTAAGTTTTTTTTTTAAAAAGATTTACGTATCCAAGAGCTGGGGTGCAGGCCGGAGATGTGTGGGGTGAGAGGACTCCCCAGAGACAGCGGGGAGCACAACAGGCAGATCTACTGAAACCCACTGCTGAGGGGAGCAGCGGGCGAGACAGGAGAGGTCTGCTGCGCCCTGTGGGCAGCTCCCTGGCCGGGGATCGAACTTGTGCTGCAGAGACTGCGGACGGCTTCACAGGTTGCGTCTTAGCCCCTTGCGCCACCAGGGAGGCCCTAAAATATTTCTGTTAATATTTATAAACCAACTTCGGCAGCTGCATCCATGTGGTCACTGAGCGGAGAGTGACGTCTGGCTGCGGATTCAAATCCAGAATTGCCACGAACCTCGTTTTTCAGGTGTTCACAACCCATGGGTAAAATTTACCATTTTACCCAAACGTGAGCTGTGGACGCGGGACCGTAGGGAGGACTAGGAGCTTCGGGTGGGAAGCTGCTGTCGGAGAAGAGCACCTTGAGGGGTGTTGGTTGAGTCACAAAAACAAGTTTCTCAGAGTTTACACGCAAGGAGACTCATTTTGCTTCCCTGACCTCCTCGCAGGCGACTTTCAGAGCTGGGGGCGGAGGGGCTGGAGACCCTGCGGGGAGGCTGGGCGGGAGGGGCCGGGCCGGCCGGGCGCAGGTGCTGCATGAGGCCTGTTGTCCGGCGCTGGGCGCTGCTGAGGCCCGGGGAGCTCGCGAAGGGCGAGGTTTTGTAAAAATCACGCCTTCCGCATTTTTGGCTCTAGTTCCGCCTGGATCCCAGCGGCGGGAGAGCGCGGGCGCTGCGGGCTCCGGTCAGCCCCCGGCGCCCAGGCGCGCGGGTGCCGCGTTCCCCACGGAGGCGCGGGCCTGGCGCGGTGGACAGGCGCGGTCTGAGGGCTGAGCGGCGCCCTCGCGGCGCGAGCGCAGGACCCCCGGCGGGGGGTGGGGGGACTGGGGGGGCCCATGTGGGAGGAAGAAACGCGGTCGCCGCGCCGGCGCAGGTGCGCGCGGGCCGTGCAGGAAGCCGCGGGGCCCGGAGGCGGCGCGCCCGGCCCTGCGCGGGTCTCCCCGCGCTCACGCGCACCCGGGCCGGCCCGGCCGGCGTGGGGAGCCCCGGGGGCGGCTGTGCCCGAGGCCCGGCCCCCCCCAGCCCGCCTGCGGGGCGCAGCTCGGCGGATTCCGCCCCGGCCTCCAGCCCCGCGGCCCCCTGGCGCCGGGGCGCGGTGGGGGCGCCCGTCCTCGGGAGGCGCACAGGCCCGTGTTTGGGGGTTGCTGGGGCGTTTTCCGCCAAGGGCCGCGCCCCTCGGCCGCCCGCAGTGGCCTTCCCGCCCCGGCCCCCAGGCCTCGCCCTCTGGGAGGCGCCGGGCCGGGCGTCCTGCCCACGCTCAGCGTGGAGGGCGAAGGAAGAGCCTTTCTTCCCTCCAGATACACCGAGGGAGCTTTGACATGGGATGTGAGTGTTGCTTTGATTTTATTTTCTAAAGAGGAAAATGGCAGATTATGGACCCGGCAGAAAACAACGCCGGCACCGGGTCCGGGCAGCCCACGGAGCTCAGAATAACGCCCCTTTTTCTTTAAAATGTTACTCGCATTTGCGCAGCAACTTCAGACACCGAGAGAAACAGCTGGCCAGCGGCTTGGCGGCGCCTCCGGTGTCCGACCGGACGCGGGGTGACCTGCAGTGACCCGGGAGAGGGGCCTCGGGGTCCGGTGCCCACGGGCTCGCGCCGACCGCGGCAGCCTTGTCCCCCAGGCCTCCCTCGGCTCTTCGGTCTCCTCCGCGCCGGTGACAGACGAGCAGGGGCGGGACACACACAGCCGGGCGCGGGCGCCGCCCAGGGAAAGCCATTTCTGCCGGTAGCTGGTTCCCAAGAGGAGGACGCTCTCTTCCCACTGCAGGAGCCGCTCGGCTGGGGGTGCTGGCCCAGGCGCCCCAGCGTCTCCCCAAAGCAACCCAGAAAAATCTTACCTGCATTTCTACAAAAGCTTTATTTGGTCAAAGTTTAGTTCTCAAAGTATAAACATTTTCTCCTCCACGTTAGACTCAAAATACACTTGGTATAAAATTCAATTGGGTCAAATACGAATAAACCTTTAAAATTATGAAATCTGTAAATATTGCGAGGACATCACGGAGAAGTGACAATGCTTTTAATGTGCTAAAGTCATCAGGTTCCATAAGAATCGCTTAAAAGCAAGCACAGCAGGCCCTGGGTCTGGGGCTCCTCTGCGCCCCGCGGGGAGCCCGCCGCGGTGCCTCCAGGGAGACACCGGCTCTCACCGTCCCTCGGAGTCCCGAGTCGAGGGCCTCGCGCCCTGGGAGGCGGTTCTGGCCCCAGCGTGCGGGGTGCCGGGGAGGGGTCCCGGGGGCGCGCCCCCACCGCGCCGGGCCCCAGCACACGGTGCCCACCCGGGGCGCTTGCATAGGTCGAAGATGTGAGTTTGGCTACTTCAAAAAGCCACTTTAAAGCTTCATTGAAAGGCGAGGCCCGCCGGCCGTCGGACGCGCCGGACTTGGGGGCCGGATTCCGCCGCGCGGGCCGGCCGCCGCCAGTGGGGAGCAGGCGGCGGCGCCCCGACCGGCGAGGCGGCGCCTCCGCGGCCGGCGGGCTACAGGGTGACGGCGGGGCCGTGCTCCTCCACGCCGCCCGCGGGCAGCGCCAGGCTGTGCCGGGGGTCGGCGCGCAGGGAGCTCAGCAGCCGCTGGACGCAGCCCGAGTGCGCGGGCCCGGGCAGGCCGTTGAGCCCGGGGCCGGGCCGCGGCTCCAGCGCGCCCTCGAGCACCACGTCGGGCTCCTCGTCGCTCTCCATGTCGTCGGGCAGCAGCGCGGGCAGCAGCGCGGGCAGCGCGTGCGGCGCGGGCAGGCTCAGGCGGCCGGCGGCGGGGTCCGCGGGGCGGCCGGCGCGCGCGCGCACCACGTTGTTGCGCTGGTTGGCGGGCTTGACCGTGACGATGAGGTTGTGGCTGTTGGCGATCATCATGTCCGTGACCTGGTCCAGCGTCTTCCCCGCCACCTCGATGCCGTTCACCTCCAGCACCTCGTCGTCCACCGCCAGCAGCCCGGTGCTCTCGGCCAGCCCGCCGGGCACCATGCGCGAGATGAAGATGCCCGGCACCTTCTCCAGGCCCTGCGGCGCCACGCGCACGCTCGTGCCGTCGCGGATGTAGAAGCCCAGCGGCCGCTGGCAGCCGTGCCGGTACAGCCTCACGCGGCGGTGCGTCTCGGGCAGGATGTCCACGTCGATGATGGACGACACCGGCCGGAAGTCCCTCGGCAGCCCGATGTGCAGGTGGCGGCGGGGCGCCTCCTCCCGCAGCGCCAGGGCGCGCCGGCGCCGGGACAGCGAGCCCGCCGCGAAGCCGCCGCTCTCCGCCTCCTCTGCAAGGGAAAGAGCGAGTCAGGGGCTGCCCAGGCTGCCCAGCCCAGCCCCCAGCTCCGGCCCCCGCGCCGCGCCCTCCCTTCCCCCGGCAGGTGGGGGCAGGCGGCACCCAGCGGAGGGCGTCCAGCCACCTGCCGCCCGGATTGGCACAGACTGCAGGAAGGGCCCGGCCGGCGAGGAGTGCGGGAGAGCGGGCGCGCAGGGGGCGGCCTGCGGGGGCGCGCCACCCTCGCCCGGTTACCCCACATCCGGCACAGCAACCGAGACCCCGCATCTCTGACTCGCAGTGCGCACAGCGACCAGAGGAGACGCCGGGGTCCAGGGGCCGGGCGGCGGGAGGACTCCTGGTGGGGACTCACTGTGCTCACTCTGCAGGCAGCGAGGCCCAGCCCCGCCCACCCCATGGGTGGGTCCAAGGCCCAGCACCCCACCGGGGTGGGCGGCTGGCGGCAGGGGAGATGTCGCTGGGGTGACCTGCCCTGGTGCTTAGGCCACGGTGGCCCCGATGTCCAGCTAGCTTGCCCCAATTCAGGACAGAGCTTCGGGTTGCCTGCCGCCAGGGTGATGACCAAGGAGATGCCCGGGCCGGCCACCGCAGGGACATCATGGAGCTCACCTGCCCCTGCCAAGCCCCCCATGGCCCAGCCCCGGGTCCTGGCCAGCCCCACTCCACGCAGGGCAGAGTGGACGTCACTCTGTGGGACCAGAAACAAGAGGGGTCACAGAGCTGCTGCATTCCTCCCACCCTGGACACAGGCCAAAGCATGCAGAGCTGGGTATGCTGGCTTCAGGGTAAGAGAATTCTAGAAACAGAAATCTGCAAGCAGGGGTGGGGGTGGCACGGCACTGCAGCTCTGGGACTGGACAGCCATGTTCCCAAGGACCCACTGCCAGCGGCTCTCTGGGTCCGTCCAAGGACCCACCACCTGGCCCCGTCTCAGTGGACTGTCCCCCCATCAAAGACAGGCTTTGTCGGGCTGACTCCAGAGGCCCTGGAGACGCAACATTCTCTACGCCGCACATGTACAAACAGGAGTGGGCCATGGGTTATAGCATCCAAGCCCGGGCATGGTTATCCGGCCCCAAACTCTGTCCTGAAGACTCCAGGGCCGCCGGCCGGTGCCCCTTCTTCCCTCAGGGGACAGCCTTGCGGGGAGGCCCTGGGGGAGCTGGCACAGGCCCCAGGGGGACGGACGTGCTGGCCTCTGCCCACGGAGGCCCCATGGGTGGTGCAGCGGACCTCGCCCCTGTGGGCGGGCACCGTGGTGCTGCTTGTGTCCTGTCGTGTGAACCAGGGGCTGGGCATGGCTCACGTGCTCTGGGAAACCAGGACTTGGGCGTCGCCTGGAGACTTACGTTTCTGTGGAGTCTGGAACTGAACCCACTAAGTCCCTGCGGTGTCTGTGAACTGCCCCACGGACCCACGGACCCGATGAGTGTGCAGCGGCACCGGGGGCTGGCAGGCCCTGCCCTTCCTGCCTCTGGGGCCACTGGTGGGGGCCGAGGGCGTCCCAGCCCCTTCTGCTCCAGGCAAGGCAGCCACAGTGGACCCCACCGCGGTGGCCTGAGGTTACCTGCCACTTACCCCCAGAGGTCTGGGCCCCTCTGGGCAGAGGGGGAGCAAAGCATGCAGTTTCCTGTACTGGTGCAGGAGCCACAGGGCTGGGCACAGAGCCCTGGTGGGCACTTGCTGTCCTGTCCTCACGAGGGGTGCCCAGTCGCTGCTCAGCTTCTGGGATGCAAATCCTGCAGGCCGGGGCAGCACTGCCCTGTTCTGAGCTCAGCTCTGAGTTTGTTTCCGGTAACACCCAAGAAAAAGTTGATCTGCACGCTCGGGTGGCATATTTGGCCACTGTGTTCCAAGGACCAGCACAGAAGGGCACGGGGAGGGAGGACCCCCCACGCGTGGAGTCCCTTACAGAGTAGGGCCGCAAGGCAGGTCAGGGAGTGCTGCCAAGGCTGTGTGGGGGATGATGCGCCATCCCCAGAGAAACTGAGGCGGTTCTCTGTCTACAAGTGCAGAGACGCCAGTGCCAGCCCCTCCTGGTCCTCCCTGGGGGCTGTGGGGGGGCTCAGGCGCCTGCACTCCCTTGCCTCGCTCTGCCGGGAGGGGGCCGGGGCGGGAGGTGGGGGGCAGAGCGCGGGGCTGTGCCACCGCCTGCTGCGCCAGACCACAGAGACAGGAATTCAGCAAAGCCGTCATCGTGGTCTTTCTCCGTCCAAACCAGCCCTGACGGTTTCTATGCAACTTTTAAATAGAAAAAGAACGAAAAACACAAACAACCCCCAGGCCCAGCCGCCAGTCTAATGAGCTCCCAGGCCGGCTGGAGTGGGCGGCCCTGCGGCTGCCGCCTCCCTGCCTCGCCCTCCTGCCCCCGCAGCCCGGGGCTCACACCCCACCAGGGCCCAGTGGCCCCCCTCCCCCTCCCGCCCCCCTCCCCCCCACTCACGGTGAGCTCCCGCGGGCGGGGCTGGCGGGGGCTTGAGGGAGGCGCCCTCTCCCCCCAGGGCTGGTCCTGGGACCCGCAGGGGTCTCCAGGCGCCTGGGGCCTCCACCCCGCAGAGGCGCGCGCTGTGTTTACAGCATCCACAGTGGCCACCGGCGAGGACAGCTATAATCGAAACACCCAAAAATAACCGTGGGCAGCCCCCCACCGGCCTGGGGCTCGGCGGCGCCGCGCCCGCTCCTCTCCCAGGAGGGCGCAGGCCCGGGCCTCCCCGACTCCACCGCCGCCACGCGCCGCCTGGGCGGCAGCCGGGCCAGCGCGGGGCCCCTCCCCGGGCAGCCCGGGCCGGGCCGGGGCGCGAGCGCCGTCCCCCCGGTCTGAAAGGCCCCGCGCGGGCCGCCCCGGGAGGGCCACGGCCTCGGCCCAACGGCCTCGGCCCAGCCTCCGCGCCGCGCGGCCCGAGCTTCCACGGAGCCTCAGCCGCGGGGCGGGGCGGGGCGGCTCTCGGCTCCCTCCAGACGCACCCCGAGGGCCGGCGGGGCCACCCCGAGGCCCCGACACCGCCCGCGCCCGCGCCGGCCAGCGGCCCCCCAGTGGGCCCAGCCACGGGGCGCGGCGGGGGGACACGCTCCATGTCAGAGGCGCTGCGCTGCGCTGCGGGACCCCGGGGACTCGAGGGGACCCCGGATCAACGAGTCTGAGAAGGCGCCTCTGCAGTCACCGCGCTCCCAACCAGCCCGTCTGGGACCTGGCACAGCCCCCCGGGCCCCGCCCCGCCCCCCACGCCCCCCATGCCCCGCCCCCCACCCGGGCCCGCCCCCGCCCAGGCGCGCCCCCCGCACGCCGATCTCTGGGGGGAGGAATCACTGCTGAAGACCCCCCAGCACGGCCCCGGGGCGCCACGTGGACCCCAGAGCTGCTGCCACGGGGTGACGGGCAGGCCGTGCAGGCCCTGAACCCGGCGCGGCCTTCCGCGCGCTCTCGGCTGACCCGCTTGGCAACGCCGGAATCTCTCCAGGTGCTTCGCGGCTGAGAACGCCGGGCCTGAACACAAGCGAGGACACCTGGTCCCCTCCTCCCCGGCCAGAGCCTGGCCTGCACAGCTCCCGGCCGCGCGCATCGCCAGTCGCCCTGACCCCTCCACGGTGGCGACTCCTCGACCTGCTGACCCTGCTGACCACAGGATGGCCACCAGCAGGGGCTGGCGCAAGGACGGCTCTCCCGAGATGTCCGCTGGAGGCCTCGGGCCTGCCTGCTGCGGCCGGACAGGCCACGCGCACCCCCACGATGGGAGTGGGGCCTTTACCAGCAGCTGTGGACCCGTGGGCAGCACAAAACCAGCGCCCACTCTGGCCTGCGGGGCTGGGGCAGCTGGGAGCCAGGGGCCCGAAACTGCAGGGGCGCCAGCAGCTGGTCTGCATGGGTGGCTCAGCCTGGGTTTCCGAGACCAGGCAGGTGGGGCTTGTGTGAGCCGCTTTCCCACAGGAGAGGGTGGAAAGTAGAGATACGGGGCCAAAACAGGAAGACAAACCACTGTGAGAGGAAATCCAGCTTCTGCTGACGCTCTGGAAAGAAGGGCTCACGTGGAAAATCCTGTGTCTGGGCTCCAAACTGGGGCAGGTAAGTCATCACCACAGGCCTGGCGTATCCGGCCCGCTGACTGTGGGGTGTCCGGCCAGGTGGCTGCCTGCCCCAGCCCAGTTAAGGGGCCTCCATACCCTACTCCCTGGGCGCTAAACCAGCCCTCCCCAGGGGGTGCAGGCCGGAGGGGGCGCGGGTGGTGGGGCTCACGCACAGGGGCACAGGCAGGGAGGGCACAGGCAGGAGGAGGTATAGGCAGAGGGGGCGCATGCAGGGGGGGCGGGGCACAAGCAGAGGGGCGCAGAGGCTGGACAAATCTTGTCACATATTCACTGGGATTCTCTGGGATTTCTGTTTTGAAAGTTTGTTTCAAAGAGAAACCCTGTGATTTGGAAAGCCAGCCCCGACCCTGCCTCTGCGCCACCTGTGCTCCCAGCAAGCCAGAGGTCCTTGTGCTTCCAGGAGTGGGTGTCGCAGCCCAGGAGCTGTGACCAGGCCTTGCGCGTGAGCCCCTCCTGTACTGACTCGCTGGGCCACAGCGCTCCTCCACTGAGCGTGGAAAACACCAAGGGCTGTGGCCCGACCTGGGGCTGTCCAGGCCCGTGGGTGGTGCCCACCCAGACACAAGGGCCCACTGGCTACTGGTGGCTCCAGGGGCCAGAGCAAGTCCAGTTTGTAAGCCACACAAGGCTGGTCCTAGAGATGAAGTCAGGTGAAGAGCCAAGTCAGCCTTCACCCTGAGGCCCGGTGGGGAGGCTGCTGTGTCCACGGCTTGTCCAGGCCCCACGTTGACCAGCGGGAGCTGGAGGGAGGCAGGGGCAGTGATGACAGGCTGCCACATTCAAACAACCCATGTGTTCCCCGAAAGGACATGCAGAAAAGACAGAAATTCAATGCCTGTTGAGCTCATCTCTACGGCATGTATATAACCACCGCGTTTATGGAGAACTCTGCTCAACTAATCGTGTCCA